TATTTACCCTCTTTGACCTCAGAAGAAAATCTGATCTTCGAGAGAAAACTCAGTATCCTATGGACCATCACAAAATTAAGATGGATGTTTTGATTATAAGAGAGCCAAAGCTACCATGATACTGTTTGACTATTCAGTACCCAAATTTTAACCCTAGTAAAGTCATCTACAGAGACCCCAGTAAAGTCATCTACAGAGACAACCCCATAAAGAGTTTCAACTGGGAAACCAGGGTTTTCTGGTTCTGCAGAAACGACTTTTACCATTTACCCTCAGGGGCTCAGTCACATTCATTGTGACATATTTTAGGTCAAGTTTGGATTTATTAGTATTTTTTAAATAATAACCTAATCTCTAATCTCTCTCCTTTGTCTTCCAAAGCAAAATAAGATTTCAGAACCTCAGACTTCTCCCTCCTGAATGAATTAAGAAAAGTCAATGACCAATACATAAAATTAACTTGTAGTATTTGAAGTTAGTAGAACCTTTAGTTTGAACTCCAAATCTAACTGATGATACAAATTCAACAATACAAGGTCACAGTGTCAGACAGAAAGATCATTGCTGGAAGTAAGGTATGCCCAGTGCCAATTTACTACTAGGTATGGTGCACACGGATTAGGATGCTCTCTTCCAGGCCTGGTTGGAATGACAGAGGGGCTGGCAGAATTGCTTCAACAATTCTGAATTTATTTCTCATTACTCCTTCAAACTGAATGGCTTAAGAACACATTATGTTTTAAATATTCTCTGTGCTAATATTCCAAACAAAAATTTGTAGATGCATTTTTCCAAGAAGATTTCATTCATAACATTAATCAAAAGCAAATGATTTTCATAATTTAATAACAGAATGGTTTTTTAAACAAAATAACTTGTGTGGGGGTTTTTTTTTTTGTAGAATGAAGTTTCTGAAACATATTAATTCTAAATACATTTTATTTAGCCCAGTGATTTTTCAAGTAGGGGCAATTTTCTCCTTCCTCCCCCAATAGGAGACAATTGGCAATTGTAGCAACCAAATGGAGGGTTGCTACTAGCATCTAATGAGTAGAGGCCAGATAGTTGCCCCCACTCTGCCATGATAAAGAATTATCAAGCCAAAAAAAAAAAAAAAAAAAAAAAAAAGGCAATAATGTTGAGGTTGAGAAATCCTAACCTAACCTAATTAACCTGAAGATTTCATAGCTTTGTGTAGCAACTCATCTGGAAAAGAGTTTAACCATGTGAGTTAGCCAATATGCCAAAATCTGAAAAATTTACTATTTCCTTCCTCTGACCCTCTTATTATTGTGTGAGGACTTCTTCACTGTGCCAAAATAGTATATTTTGTTCTATATATTCAAGGTCACCCATGGCTTACTTAAAAAGTATAGGAAATAAAAGAAAATGCCTACTCCACCAGGAATGTACTAGGTATATTCACACGTATCTTATTTCATTGTAACTCAGGTTACTATCCTCATATTATAGAGGAAGCAACTGAAGTTCAGAGAGGGTAATCAACTTGCCAAATATCACACAGCTGGTAAGTGACAACTCAGTGACTACTATTTCAAGTGAGAATATGTATTTTAAGACTATTTAATAATTTCTCATATATGCAAAGAAAATTCTGACATACTAATGATTGTTACTACTCAAAGAAAATTTCTGAATCATTAATAGTAGTTAATAAGGTAAGGAGGATAATTAGCTTTTTACCATATATTTTTCTGTATTAGAAATTTCAGTAAACATGTATTACTTTCACTTGAAAACTAATAAATTAAAAAAAAAAGATTCTTATAAATAAGTCATTGACATGCTTCTCAGATTAATTTTAGGACTAACCCTTGACAAAATAGTAAAGTAGGAGATGGTACCAAGTGTATGTATCAGTCTGTTGTTGTTAACCCAATTTCCCACTCAATATCCCTACACCAAAACTTACTTATTCACTCACCCAGCTCCCCCAAAAGGATCTTATAATATTATTCACATTAAAAGTAAATATGTTATTTCATGGTGTTCTCACTGAGAAAACTATCATAGATCAAAAGATCAATTCTGTGTTTATCTCTAATATCAGAATAGTAGAAGAAGTTGGGAGCAAGACTTTTCTTCTTTTGTGGTCCTGAAACCTCATTCTATATGTAACCATCTACCCAGGAAGTTCTCAAAAAGGGGTTCTGCCTTGTGAGGGTGAGGTACTTAGTTGACCGAGTGGATCCAGTGACTGGCATGTGAACCACGAGTCCCAAGTATATAAAAGTTTATGGCTTAACAGGTTACCAAAAGACACACATTTCCCCAAACAGTTTCTCTCCTACCTGATCTGAACTTCCCACCAAGAGGATCAATCAAGGCAAAGAGGCCAAGTAATCAATTTTTTATTGATTGTTTGATGCTAACATTATAGTAAGTCAGTGCAGTGAGGACTGACATAAAATTCTTTATTAAACTTTGGAAAGTCAACACTTCCAGAGCTAAACCTTCTAATCTATGTGAGGACTTTGATAATGTCCATACTTTGAGAATTCCATCATACTTCCATCCCCTTAAACCCCAGCCCAGCCCTTGAATCTCAGCAGTCTGCTAGTGTGGCTAAAGAGTATAGGGGATCAATCAAGGATGAGAGGTTGATTTAACATGAGTAATGGCTCTGTATCGCACTGTAATTGGCTGAATTGTGTCTCCAAAATAGATTTGTTCAAGTCCCAACCCTTGGTATCTGTGAATGTGACCTTATTTGGAAATGGGGTATTTGCAGATGTAATCAAGTTAAAACAAGGTCACACTGGATTAGAGTGGACCCTAAATCGAATGATTTGTGTCCTTATAAGAAGAAGGAGATTTGGACACACACACACACACACACACACACACACACACACACACACACACACATGCAAGACAGCCATATGGAGGGAAGCAGAAATTGGGAGTGATGCAGCTAAAAGGCAAGGAATGGGAAAGCTTGCCAGCAACCATCAGAGGCTAGGAAGAGGCAAAGAAGAAATCTTCCCTAGAGTTTTCAGAAAGAGTATGGCCCAGCCAACACCTTGATTTTAAACTGGCCTCCAGAACAGTGAGAAAAGAAACTTCTGTTGTTTTAAGCCATCTAGTTTAGTCATTGTTACAATTTTAGGAAACGAATATACCCAAAATCTCAGACTATTACATCACCATACCTTTTGAAGAGGAAACAAAGAAAAACACACAACATTCTGGTTATAGCTATACATTCAAATACTCAAGTAACAGTGCACATGACCTTATACTTGTATCATGACTTTTTCCACATGCTACTTTAAAACTCCTAGGAAATAGGACAGTATAAGCTTATTCAAAAGAGTAGAATGTCTATCACAGCACCCATGCTAGAATTAGCAAGGATAGAAACAAAGCGGAGGTTCTTGGTTCTAACTTATAAGTTACAGTCTCAGCCTATAGTGAATAAACATACGAATGGAAACAACTTTTTAAATTTATTCTAAAACCATTACTAAAAGACACTGCCCACTATGCTACTCATGTGTCCCTATATAGTTCTCATGTTTAAAAAAAAAAAAAAACTTGCAGAATGTGGCACTGGGAAAATACTGTCATCTCTTTTTTAAAAAAATGGCATGTTTCATTCACTCATCAGATAATCAGAATTTTTCACCCAGTGTACTACAATAGCCTCTCAACTTGTCTCCTTATTTCCATACTTATTTTTTTTTCTTTTTAAGTTTATTTATTTTTGAAAGACACACACAGAGAGAGGGAGAGGGAGAGAGAGAGAGAGAGAGCATGCACACATGAGAGAGGGGCAGAGAGAGAGGGCAAGAGAGAGCATCCCATGCAGGATCTGTGCTATCCCTACAGAGCCCGGTGTGGGGCTCAAACTCAGGAACCTGTGAGATCATCACCTGAGCCAAAATCAAGAGTCAAATTCTTGAGTCAGAATGTGTTTACATTCTTAACTTCTACAGTCCATTCTTGCATATTGGTCAGGATGATCCTTTTATATGTAAATCAGATCATGTTTGTGCCCTGAACAAAACCCTTGCAGGGATTCCCATCACCCTCAGAATAAAATGCAAATCCTTTCCAGGGCCTACAATGTCTAGCAAGTTCCACCCCAGGCTATCACTTTACTCTGTGTCCCACCTCTCTTCCTTCTCATATGCTAGTTTTGCTACATGGATCTCCTTGTTGGTGGTCTATACTCTAAGGTCCCCTGTACTTACCATTCCTGCTGCCTAGATCCTTTTCCTCTGACTCATCACATCACCTACACCATCATGGTCTCCATGAAGTGCTATTTCCTCAAAGTCCATTCCACCCCATCGAAAAGAATAACCCTGTAACTCCCTACTTCCTTAACTTGCTTCTATTTCTCTCATGGCATCTATTCACCTCCTGACTTTACTGACATTACATTACGTAGTTTTTAATTTCCTCATGGTCTTTGCTCTCCTAGAGTGTAGGCTCAATGAGAGCAGGGATTTTTGTCTGATTTGTTCACTGTTGTATCTCCAGTGCCTGGAACAGTGTCTAATACAGAATAAGCACTTGATACATAATTTGTTGAATCAAAAAATAAATGAATGCATTTTGAAAGTTGCTTTACTTTAATTTTTTGCCCTGGCAGATAGGGAACTTAGCAATAAATTCAATGGTGAGTCATAGTAAAGAGTAGCCTTCATCCTGGGCATATATGCTTCTTCCTTCTTTTTATATATTCAGATAGTCTATTCCTATTCTAATAACCTCATATATTCCCTTCATTACAAAATATTTTAAATCTTTTGTAATGGGACAGAAAGATACCAATAGGCAGGTAGGTTGGGTGCCAGGTTGGGTGCGTGGGAGGCAACCCCACAGTAAGTGGGAAAGGGTGTATTTGTTCACCAGCAGTAACGTTGAAGCCTTCAAGCTAGAAGCCCAAATCTTTGGCTGCCTGGAAAGAGCCAGAGGAGAATGAGCTAATGGGTCCAGCAGAGCCAGTGAAGGAGGGAAGCAAGTTTTACCTTTTCATTCCTGCAGTTGTTCAGCCCCATATTGTTCATGGAAGATAGTTTCCCATCAACACCATGTGGCTGTTGCTGTTGTTGCTCCCGCTGGATCTGTTCTCGCATCTTCCGAGCCTCCTGAATGGCTTTCATCACTGTGTCCTGATCTCCAAACAGGGCAGGGGAGTTGAGACTGGACAGGATATCTGCACACACAGGATGCATTATTAGAAGCTTATCAGGTTAGATGCTAACAAAATACTGCCACTATCCAATCCCCTGTAGAATGCTGCATTCTCCAGACAAAGAAAGGGTATGTTTGTTATTAAGAAAACTGCAATACTATACATAGAGCACAGGGAAACCAAGCTGTGCTGGGTTTTTAGCCCTTGGAGGATACCCCAGCACTCCAGTCCCACCTCCTCACAGATGAGGGTTCCTAGATTCCAATTTTGTGTGTGTGTGTGTGTGTGTGTGTGTGTGTGTGTGTGTGTGTGTGTGTGTCTGTCTGTCTGTCTGTCTGTCTTCTGGCTACATCTACCAATTAGATGGGGAGTAGTCGGGAAGAAGGGGGTAGAGACAGGTACAGAGATCTCTGTGCAGGATGCCTGTTACCCTGGGTATACTAATGCAAGAGAGCTGTCTCTGGCCTAGCAGAAACAAATTCTGTGAGGCTACATGTGTACATTAGTGACATCTTTATCTGTGTGCTCATATGTCCACTGCAGGAGAGAGGAGGCGGGAAGGAATACACTGCACTCCCCATTCCCCAATCACTGGCTGGTTAATGAAGCATTCTACTCATCATGCTGCCTCAGTTATTTACCAAGAGAATGACAACCCATTCCCTACCCCCAACCGAACACCCACTGCTCTCAGCTCCCTGTTTTCGTGATAGCGAGGCTGTATGTGTGGGAATGGTTTTCACATCAGTACAAAGCTCCAAGTACAGTGAGAATAAATATTTACTTTCATTATATTCCATGCAACTCGGAGGGGGAAAAATGAAATTAAACTAATTCTCCTCCATGGCTTCTATTTTACTGTAGGTTAAAATTAATACTTTATATAAGCTTTTCCAATTTTAGACAGAAAGAGGGCAACTGCTTGCTGACTGATAGATTGCAGCTGCTATGGTAAAGTTTAATGCGATCCACTTGTTTGTATCCTGGTATGAACATTTCATAGCACATGTATGTGTATATGCATGCACACACCTCAGACAGAACAGAGAGAACCAGACTAGAGTCAAGCCTATGCCACGCCTCTACGTGTGTGCAATACATGTGCATATGAATGCGTTTAGAAAAAATTCCCAAGGCTGTCTATAGGAAATTATTTAAAAGTCAAACAATCACTTGTTAGGATTTAGAAAACCCATTATATTTTGCTCTGGAACTCTTCTGATAAAAACAAAACAAAACATTTCTATCCAATATTGCCTGGACAAAATTGTGATTGCTTCAGCCTATTTCTAGCTCATGATCCAAGAAATATGCTCTGCTGAAGGATAAACTCCATAAGAGCAGGGCCTGTGACATAGTCTCCTTTGTCCCTCATGATGCTCAGTATACATAGCAAATACTTTCCAAACAAAATTCAGAATTAGACTATGGAAAGGCCATTTCAAGATCAAGCCTAGGATTTATCCTTAAGTTGGCTTTTTTTTTTTCCTTATCTCAAGCTTCCAACAATCCAGCAACCATATTCACATGCTGGAAATGACTCACTTCTCTCTCCCACACGAGTATCACTGACTTGGAGTGAAAACCTCCTGGCCCCTCGAGGAGGCACTCTGACTCAAAATGAGAATAGGCTGCTGTATGAATCCTAATGTCCCAAATCTGAATGAGGAAAAATTATGTCTCACCATCAGAAGATTCACTTAACCCCAGCACAGTGCAGCAAACACTCCAACTGTGACCTCACATAAAACAGCACTGAGTTTATAGAACTCAGGTGAGAGGGCCCAGATTCTAGTCTTCTTGGCTTTACTAATTAATAGCTATCTGGCTGTGAGCAAGCCATTTTACCTGTAAGAATCACAGTTTACTTTATCATACAATGAGGGTAATAATGCACTACCACATAAGATTATTATGAAAAATCAAATGAGATATGTAGGCAAAAATGACTTTTAAACCGCACATGACTACACTTACATATTATTTTGTTTATTATAATAAGCATTTCAGGCTCTGGGACTCAATAAGGCAAGGAAGGTAATGTGAAGAATCTAAATCCCCAATCCCTTGGAATCTCTGTATCTTACAGAAACGAAGAGGCTTAGTAACAACATGTTAATACTTATTTGGCACTCTGCTACTGACAAATGCTTTTACATTTATTGTTTCATTCCACATGTGTATGTAAATCTGTTGGTATTGGTTCAGTCCAGTCTTTTTAAATAACATGACTTCTAGGTGTCAGACACTGTTAGGCATTTTATATGCATTTTTCTCTCTTAATTCTCACAACAACCTATGAGCTAGGTAATAATATTCCCCTCTAAGAGATTAGGAAACTGAGTTCACAAATATTAAATAACTTTCGCAGGGTCACATAACGAGTAAGTGAAGGCTCTGAGTCCAAGTCTGTCTGATGCCAAAACTCATGTTTTTCCTCTATACTTCTCACTGGGGTACGAATGTCCCTAGAGATACTTGGCAATATATCAGAGAGTGTAAGAAACCAGAGGATCATTATGGCATATCTTATCAGATACCAATCTTATTTCATATTATGCCATTGAAGCGTGTCATTCACATTTGTTTTAAAGCAAAACTAATAAGGAATAAGATGTAAAATTCACATACATTTAAAAAAGAAAATATAAAGCTTCAAAGAAACTTGGGGCTTTTAGCAGGCAGCTTGGAGGTCAGGTCCCTTTAGGCCCTTGGAGTTTTCTTGATCACTCTCGTCTGCCTAGAGTTGCTTCAGCGGCAAAGCACTAACCAAACACAGAAATCCCCAAGTCTCTGATTTGCTAGATCTAACTCATCAGCATCTAAATATCCCATCCCGGCAGGATTTATATTATGACTTTTCCAAAAGTTCTAATCACCCCAAGACACCAAAAGGTGTTAGTTATGTTTTAGTAGAAAGGATTTTACTTCCCCACCCCTGTCCCCTGGACTAAGGAACACTTTGGAAACAGGGATCAGTCAGCACTGAACAGGTTTGCTTTATTTTTACCCAATTCATACATCTCTTCCTGTTGTTGACCTTTCCATTTACCTAAAGAGGATCCTCTTCCCAAACTTCCTCCAATGGGGCTGGGGATGCTGCTTTTGTTAGGCAGATTAACGGGGCTGGTTTTGCTGGCTGGGAAGAGACTCTGGGTGGGAGATGTTGGGGACTTTACAGGCTCGGCTGTCTTGGGTCGGGAAGAGAGATTTAGCGGCTGTGCTGCTGCTTCGTCCTACAAGAGTTTAACATAAATAATTATTAAAAAAGAAGACAAATGAAGCACATTATCACTTAGTAAGCCACAGTTATTTTACACCTCAGAGACAATGCCACATTCTCCTGCAATAATAACAAAAGAAGCTAATTATCTACCTCCTTGAAGATTCATCGGAAGGAAACCTCATTAATTTCCCTGTGTTATGCTTCTATTTACATTAACTGTGTAGTTGGATCATTCTTTTTGCCAAATTAAAATCTGAATTAGCTCACATTACAGCTTAATTTCCTAATGTGTTTTCAAGGATCTAAATTAACCTAGGGCATTTACAAAGAATTATTTAAAATTTCAGCAGCTCTGTAGTGCTTTTGTGTTATTCTCTCTGAAAAGTTCCTGCAACTATAAATAGGCTCTGCAGCTAATTTTTTAATATATATTTTAAATCAAACAATTGCAAGTACTTTAAAAATGGAAACACAGGCTTCTTCTGCTCTCCTGGGCCTCTGCCCAGGGAGCCGCATGCCACAGCATGGCTTCTATGTGGCTTTCTGGGTGTGGACACGCCTCATGGTCTATATTCTGGTCTCTATTCATGTTTAAAATTAATTTTTGCAAAGAGCAAGCACACATTATAATTATGTTTTACATACCATGCTATATGTAATTTATTTTTCATGTCTAAAGTGATGTTTCTTTATAATCTTTGCTACACATATTTACAGGGTGTCTATTTTAAGATGCCTGCCCTTCTATACCAAGCACAGTATTCACATAACTGGCTTGTAACTCTAGTGCAACCAGGAGCTTGAAAGCTAAGCTCCTTGCCTTTATTTTGTCTCATTTATCCTGCCGTTAAACACACATAAAAACACGTCCATCATTCTAGAAATTTAGTTGTAATATAAACATGTTCATTTAAATGTTCAGTTTTAAGATCTATATTATTGTGCTCTAAGATAAAAATTGTTGGCAAATGTTAACTTCTGTTTTGCTTCTGAAAAGGCACAGAGAACTTGCTTTTAATGCCATTTTTTTTTTAATTTTTTTTTTCAACGTTTATTTATTTTTGGGACAGAGAGAGACAGAGCATGAATGGGGGAGGGGCAGAGAGAGAGGGAGACACAGAATCGGAAACAGGCTCCAGGCTCTGAGCCATCAGCCCAGAGCCCGACGCGGGGCTCGAACTCACGGACCGCAAGATCGTGACCTGGCTGAAGTCGGACGCTTAACCGACTGCGCCACCCAGGCGCCCCTAATGCCATTTTTTAAAGCACACAGTAGAGCTTGGAAACAGAACATCCTCCCCGTTGGCAAACATGTGACTTCTCTGGGGTTCAATTTCTTCATTTGTAGAAAAAGAGAGCCTGATTCTAGCTGATCTGTATGGTCTCTTCCTGTATCAATGGTCACTGTTTAAGGGGAGGGACAAAAAAGATACCAGAACAGACTACTCAAGAAGATTAGAAAGAGAAAATAGAAATCACATGCACAGAGAAGCCAGTATACAGCAGGCACTGTGCTAGACATTTTCACACATATTCACTCCTTTAACTAGCAATAAGTCTATGAAGTTGGGGAGTGCTATTCTAAATTGACAGAGGAGGAAGGGTCAGAGTGATAAAATCACTGTCCAAAGCCATACATGGAGGGACAGCACTTGAATTGCACTTTACTGGATTCCAAATCCCAGATTCTCTTTCTATTAAACTATCAGAGAAAATAAGTCACTCAATAACGTAGTATTTTTTTTTTTTTGTCTTGGTAGGAAATAGATAATCCAGTACATCTGTTGAGATGTACATTTATCTATATCTACACGGAGGATAGGTCTCAGGAAACACAGTTATATCTACTATGCACGTCAAAAACATCTTACGTGCTTCATTACAATGTATTTCTCTTTTCTCTACACTCAAAGGATATTTAGACTAGTTTCTTCACTCCTTTCTAAATAATAGTGATTTATATGCTAGATATTTAGTTTTCTCCATGTTTCTTTTATTTGGGGTTCACTGTGATTCTTAGATATCTGAGTTCAAAGTGTTCTTCAATGTTAAAACATTTTTAGCCATTACTTCTTCAAATATATTTTTCTGTTCCTTCCTTTTCTTTCTGGGGCTCTAGGAGCATACTAGGTCATTTGATGTCCAACAGCACTGATAGTCTTTTTTTTTTTTTATTTATGTATTTCACTCTGGATAGTTTCATCATTCCATCATCAAGTTCACTAATCTTTTCTTCTGTGATATCTAATTGTTACTAATCCCATCAGTACTAATCCAGTATAGTTTTCATCTCAAAAACTATTTCTCATCTCCAGACATTCCATGTATGTGTTCCATGTCTTGCCTTATAATGCTCATATTTTCCTCTATCTTCTTAAACATGTGGTGTTTATAATATCTTTTATTTTTCAGCTTTGAATATGCTCTATTTATTTTCATAGCTCAGTAATTGCCACTTCCACCAACAATGCCATTGGGCATGGGAAGCATCAAATCCCTTGTCACCGTGGCAGGCCCGATACTGGTTCTCACAGCATGCCCTTAGCTTGACATAAATTTTGTGGGTGTGTTTAGGGGGAAGATTTGCCTACCTTCTCATTTGGCAAAGTTGGAAGTCCCTATAGTAGCTGTTTTTACCATCTTAACGACTAATTCTATCATCTGTGCTATTTGGGGGCCTATTTCTATTGATTGAGTTTTCTCTTCATTATTGTTCATACTTTCTTGCTTCTATAAAAGCCTGGCAATTATTTTGTTAATGTTTATTTATTTTTGAGAGAGAGAGACAGAGCACAAGTGGGGAAGGGGCAGAGACAGAGAGAGACACAGAATCTGAAGCAGGCTCCAGGCTCTAAGCTGTCAGCACAGATCCCCACGCTGGACTTGAACTTGTCAACTGTGAGATCATGACCTAAGCTGAAGTTGGATGCTTAACCAACTGAGTCACCCAGGTGCCTCAAAGGCCTGGTAATTATTGAATGGAGGCTACACACTGTGAATTTTACAGTTCTGGGTGTTGGAGTTTGGGCATTTTTCAAATATTTTGGACTTTGTTCTGAGACACATGTTCTGAGACACAGAAAAATTTGATCCTTTCTAGGCTTGCATTTAAGCTTTGTTAGGCAGGTTCAGAGCAGCCATTAATCTAGGGATAATTTGGTCCCATTACTGAGGTAACACCCTTCTGAGGAACCCTACCTGATACCTCATGCGTCAGGAGATCTTTCCACTCTGGCTAATGGGAATACAAACCCATTCTCAGTGCTCTGTGAACCTTGTGATAGCTTTGCCTGCTACATCTGGTATTTTTCATTGGCCTCAGAGAGTTTCTTCATATGCATATGATGATCAATACTCCACTAAATACAGGAGAATCCCCTACAGATTTTCAGTCCTCTCTCCCTCTGTGCAGCTCTCTCCTCTCTGGTGTTCTACCTCACAAATTCTCATCTACCTTGGCACCCCAAAACTCTGAACTCTATGTCTCTATTCAGGGAGCTGCCGTGTTCTGTGTGGGTATCCCTCCTTGCACTCTTACCTATAAACAACCTTTTGACAGTAAACTGGAATAACTGTAGTACTTTTCTCATTTGTTTCTCTTTTCTCAGGAATCACTGTTCTATATTCCTATCGTAAATATCTGAAAATCATTGTTTTATATACCTTGTCCTGTGTTTCAGTTACTTAAGCTGGAAGACTAAATCCGATCTCTGTTGCTCCATTCTGGCTGAAAATGGAAATCCTCCAGGTATTTTGTTAGGCTCTTTTGGTACACAACTAGATGCTTCAATTATAATCGCCACCACCACCACCACGGCCATCTTTATTACCATCAGATCATCATCATCATGATCACTGCTATACTAACATTAATGAAACACTCACTATGTGCGAGAGGACTTAAGACTCATAATAATATTAACTCCCATTTCTCAAAGCAGAAAACTAAGGCTGAAAGAAGTTAAGCAAATTGTCCAAAGGGACAGGTGGTAAAAGTGGTAGAACTGAAATCTGAACAAAAACATTGATTTCCAATATTGATATTTATTGTAGATAAAAACTCTCAGGGAAAGAAGGTACAATAAGATGACCTATGTTTAATTTTGTTACCTTCAGCAAACTATGCCTCGTGTCATGTGGTCATGTTATATACAGAGGGAAAGCAATGATTATAGACAGAAACATTTTAGTGACCATAATCCTTTCAATTAGCAAATCATGAGATTATTCTCAGAACTTCTTCATTAGTAGGCAGAAGCTTTTATTTTTATTTTTTTTAATTTAAAACATTTGCTTTATGTCTTGGTCTATACATTTTTACCCACACATACAACAAACAATCTAATAAGTATAAGGAATGTTTCCTTTGTTATTAACATAAAATATAGTCAAGTCAAATTATATAGAGAACTCCCTAAGAATTTGCATGTGGTCAAGTGAGTAATAAAACTCAGTTGGCCCACAAAGCTGGAATGGTAAAAGCAGATGTAAACTTGAATTTAACCAGGGAACATTTTACTCATCCAGTAAAGACTTGGTTTGGTGCAGTTCCATTTGGCCAACTCACTTATAAAGTGACTTTTTCATGTTAAAATATCTAATACTCAATACTTGAAGTCAATACCGTCTGATATGTTCATACTCTAACAACTACAATTAAACAAAGTGCTGTGGCTTGAGTTGTAGCGTTCTCTTATTCACAAACAGAAACTCTTGGAACACAAAATAGGTAGCTTGTTTCTGTAAGTAATGCTATCTTATTAAATGTAAGCTGCTCTTGTTATATCTCAGTATTTCTAACAGCAAAACATAAATGTTCATCTATGTCTTTGGAGAGTTTAAAGCATGGGTGGCATTAAATTAATTCCTTTGGGCAGGAATTTTGAGATACTCAAAAACATTATGGAAAAATAACACATTTTCAGTGGCTTTGTAGCATTTGATGCTATTTTGTTGGCCTTAGATGTTTCCCTGTGAAAATTTAATAATTGCAAAATTTCTCCAAATGTAGTACTTTGGGCACATTACAACAATACATCTGCTCTGGCGTATCCCTCCGAGTAGATAAGTCAATGATACAAAACAATTGTCTCTCTGAACTATATTATAAAAACCAACCAGTACCACCTATAGGTACCAGCTGCAGCACAAAGTTGGAGCGCATCATCCATCCATTTCCCTCTGTCGCCAAGTACCTCCTGGGTGCCACATTTTAAGACACTGAAAATTAGTGAGGAAAGGCATCTATCAATGTCCCAGCCATAACTTGGGAGAGCCTGCATATCCTCTCACAACTACCGGGCATCAAAGCATGAATAGATCATGATACCATTCATTCCTCAGAGCCCATTTTATAAATGTGTTCAGAGGACAGTCCTTTATCAACAAACCATATAAGGCCCAGCACTAGATTCTTTTCTGTCCCCCTTTTTAAAATCTAAAGTTTTGAGAACCTCCTTTGCCGGTACTGTAAGTTGGCTCCCACCTGTTTCAGGAACTTAGAGAGAAAGTGTCACAAATCTATGAGAAAGACTGGTAATAAAACCATGGCCATTCATGCCAATGAACATTAAAAAATAAAAGCCAGAATCCAAATGGGGAAAACTCTTGAGAAGTGAGTTTGCAGATTTAGGTAAAGCGCTCGCAATATGGCACTATTGTTATCAAAAGGGAAACACCTGTTTCTCAGTGCTCAATCATGAAATTTACCATAAAGAGAAGCATTTGGGTTTCCTTTATGCTGCTATGCTTCCTGCTGCTTATTCCCAACCCAGCCTGGTTCACTACTTTTCTTGTGAAGCTGTTTTCCAAACTGTTTTCACAATCCTGCAAAGCAAGTACCTTAACTTGAGTTACAGGGCTGGTCCCTCTCTTTTCATTTTTTATCCCGGTAGGTGAGACTGCCCCTGCTGTGTTTGGTGGCTGTGGAGCTGATGGCATCTTTGCTCCAGGTGACACCTGCATGCTGGCCAGCTGAGCGGCATAGAGCTGCTGCAAAACAGGGGAGACAAACATTATCTCTTTAGATGCAGCTGAAATTGAGTTTCAAAAAACACAAAACAAAACAAAAAACAAAAACAAAACTTACCGTGTTGTTACATAACTACTCCCCTGACAACCTTGTGATTTCTCTCTCACTATCTTTTAAAAAGGGAATGTGAGAGCCCAAATAATATAAAGAAAGAATACTAGTATGGGAGCCATTGTCTTGTTCCTGGTGCTTGTAGCAGTAACTTGATGAACGTGAACAAAGGATTTGGTTGCTCTAGAACTCAATTTCTTCAGTACAAAAAGGAATTTGACTAAATGGTCTCTACGGTTCTTTCTAGCGCCTAAAATCTTTATAAAAAGTTCTTTAAATGTCAATATGTCCATTCATGCAATTTTAATATGCATGAACTAAGAAACTAATCTGAACTTTCCTAGGGATTCCTGGAAGAACACTGTTCTTATTTAATACTGACCAAGCTTCTCTGGGGATGCTGATCCTTCCGGATGATAAGAATGCTGCCTTCAAGATCCCCAGGCCCAACAGCAGGCATTGTTTTCTTGGGGTCTTATTTCTAGGCAGCATATAAAATAATCCTCAAGAGAATATAGCCAGATTTGTGACCAAAAAAATGAAATGAAATGAAATGAAATGAAATGAAATGAAACTTCTCTTTCCTAGCACAGGATGTTAAATCCTTGACTGTTGTTTTATTAGCTTTTGGATGAAATTGATAATAAATGAATGTGTTGATCTTCTATGGTTAGCCAGAATTCAGATGCCTCAGTCTTCACACTATTTAATGCTTGGGAACTCCATTCAAATATTTTCTTTTCTTCTTATAATCAAGATTAAGCCATTACCTTGACAGTCCTATGTGTATCATAATAAATAAGCTTCCTAGTTCATCAACCACAGAGAAAATAGCTCAAACTTTGTCATATTAGTAAGGGGGAAAAAAAACAGGTGGTTTGTATGTAATTTCCAGCATTACTATCATTCAGATGGACAAATAAAAAAAATTACAGTAATCAAAAACAGACCTTTCAGCACATGTAATTAAATGAAAGCTTAATAAAGAATAATTTGCAAGAGCCAGATGTGCTTATGTCATGATTGTTGCTTTCTTTGGAACAATTTTTCTAATATAACAAGCCTCTAAAGAAATTAAAGTTTCATAATTCTGTATGTGCAATGACTCAGTGGTAAGAAAAATTCACAAGTAAGAGTAAGTCAAACTGCTAGAAGTTAGGGGGAGAAAAGGCTGCCTCTTCTATTTCCTTTTTACTCTGTGGTATCCTTTTCCTTTGAAATTCAGCCAAGTGTCTTCAAAAGAGGGGCAAGTGAAGCTTCTGAAAATTTGCTTCTTGGATAAAGCCACTGAAGAAAAGTTTGGTATTGAATGGAGTGAAGATGGTTGAGAGCTGAGATAGTGTTGGCTACATGGTATCTGGTATCATGACTAACGTGCCCTACGACTGAGTATTAAAGAGTCATGAAATCTTTGAGAGGCAGGAGTCCTTAAGCATCATTTATGCCTTCATTTTACCTCAATAATTCACAAGATCAGACGATCTTGAGTCCTCCAGGGAAATTCAACTAGTGAAAAAAAAAAAAAAAAAAAAAAAAAAAAAAAAAAAAAAAAAAAAAAAACAGGAAAAAAAAATCCCTGGGAACAAATCTATTTTTTTAAAAGCTGACTAAATTCAGAAATCCTTCAGCTTGAACAAGATAGTCGCTTTTTAGAAATAATGTTAATTGCTTCCTCTAAAGCTTTGATAATCATTTATTTTATATCTCTCTCTACTGGTTTGTACCTATGAGAGGAATGACCCCAGAAACACTGAGATTCCTCAGACTTGGGGTTCCTCAGAGTTCCTTGTGAGCTGCCATCACTGATACAGTAGAAGCAAGAAGGGGCATCTCCACACACCACAAAATTTATAGAGCTGAGTAAACTGGTCAGTAGGAGATCAGAAAAGATTTAGTAGAATAAGCTCCGAAATAAAAAAAAACCAGAAAATAGAATATGATGTAAAGATAGAAGGCACTCACGAAAATAAAAATGTTCACAGTCTGTCTGACAAAATGTATAATTTTAGATATAAGTACCATGCTTTTCAGACTGAAGATTGCAGATCTGACCTGGGTAAAAAGAATGTCGTTCATTGAATAGGTATAGGCTTGCCAAATGATTTCAAAGATAGCTCATCTTCTAAGCTAACACTAATTGAATATGTTCTATATGCAAGGCTCTGTTTTAGGAGCTGTGGAGGTTTCAAAGTCTTGGAATAGGCATATAGTTTTGGAGAAGATGTAAGATATAGATCCTTAACACCTGACGTGCACCTTTTTTTGTGGCACTTACCACTGTTTTTAAACCTGTGCTTAGTTGTGTATATATGTCTTATCATGCTTGATAGACTGTAAGCTTATCGAAGTCATGATCAACCTAATTATTTCTGAGGGCAAGCAGAGAGAATAGTACCTTGCAAATAAGAGATAACCAATCAATATTTTTGAATTAACATACTATATAAAATTACTGGATGTTAAGAAGGAGAGATATTTTCTAAAACTGAGGCAAAAGAAGTAGTACATGATTATATTTATCATACATAATGAATAATGTTATGGTGTTGCGTTTCAAAAATAAATTAAATAAATAAATTCATAAACTAACTAACTAAATAAATAAATAAATAAATAAATAAATAAATAAATAAAAGAAAATAAGCCCAGCCCAAATTAAATTACATTGTTTCAAAAGAAATGATTCTTTTGAAGTCATTTGTTAAAACGTTGACTAGAAAGCTTTTTTAATAACTGCTGGCTTTAGTCACCTGTCTTAAACTTTTCTAACACAAATTCTACTGCTTGAGCAGCAACTGAGGGGTGGTATTGATTCTTCTTCTTAGTTTACTTATAAATTTAAAGTTTCTCTAAATGATACCACATCCTTTTTGAAAGAACATAAAATATTAGTTATCCAAGTAAATAGCTTTAGTTAGAAAAGTCCTTTGCAGACTAATGGTTTGGGAAAGAAAAGGGTTAAGCTCTGATTAACGATTACGCAAGAGTTTACAAAAATGTCACTCCACATAGGATTCTGAGATCATAGTTCACAGACACAATGATGATAATAATGAATATTCATTTCCAAACACAGTTGAGGTTTAAAAAACCAACAAGGTAGTAAAGCTTATAACAGACTTAGCCAGAGTCCCATAAACATTTAAACTTTGGTGAAGACTATTTCTGTAAATATAGACTTTTTTTCCATTTCAATTTTGAAAAATGTTCGGTGATTGTTTGGGATATTGAGTTGTTTCTTTATCCAAGATATATAAAAGTCATGCAGTGCATATATGTAAAAATGAGCCTAGCTAAATATTTTTCAAAATTATAAAATCACTCAGATTTTATTGGAGCACTTTAAGAAATGCTTTCACTATTTTATGGCAGAAATATTCCACCTTTAGTATTAGTTCAGTTTTAATAAAGTAGTCATTATTAAGATTTTGGTAAGCTGAAAACTGACATACTTCACATCTAGAACTGAAAGGGCCTTCACAGATCATTTAGTCTTACCTCCTCATTCTTCTGATGAGAGGAGGACTAGAGAAGAGAAGTACCACGCTCAAGATGATATAACTAGATAATAGAAGAACACTTTGGCTCTCATTCCAACATTACCATTTAAAGTACAAATGGCTATATGATGAACCAACCTCTGCACATCACGAGTACATTTCCAGCATTGATGAATTTGTTCAACAACAAATCTTTATCAAATGCTTACTATTAACTAAACACTATGCTAAACACTGGAGGTACAACAGCAAGCAACTCGAAAACAGTTACTGCCTTAATGGAGCTAGAAAGAAAACCTGATATTAAATAAATGCTTAGACAGTAACTGTGAATTATGTTCAGGTTAAGTGCTGAGAAAGAAAAATACAGAATGTCAAAAGACCATCTAACAAAGGCATTTAACATAGTCTGGAGAATCAAAATCGCTTCTCCAAGGAAATAACACTTTAAGTAAGAATTAACCAGGAGGAAAGGTTATAAAGAACATTCCAGAAAAAAGAAACATTGATTATTATGGCCCTGGGGTAGAAAAGAAAGTAATGTTTTCAAGATACTAAAAAAGGGCCAACATGAAAGGATGGTTAAGTGTGGGTACAGTGCCATGACAAGAGGCTAGAGAGGGGTAGAGTCTTAAAGGCCACATGAATCATTTTAGACTTTATTCCCCCAACAAGAAGTATCTAGAAAAAGCAATGAATTAAAGCCAAGACACAAAGAATCTTTTCTATGCTTTACCACCAACTTATTGATGAATCTTTTAAATACATTGGATTAAGGAAGTCCTATGAAGATATCATAAATCCATACCTCTAATACTATTTCTAGACTTCTGTGTCCTGAGACTAGCCTTCAAAAAAAAACCTATCTTGCATTTGTATCCTAGTGACACTTTAATAACTAGGGCTACTTACATTCAACACAAAACAGTAGGTCCTACCAGACTCAGCCTTATGGTGAAATTCTTTTGTGTGAGTGTGTGTGTGTGTGTGTGTGTGTGTTTGCTTATTTTTGAGAGAGACAGACAGACAGACAGAGAGACAGACAGACAGACTGTGAATGGGGTAGGGGCAGAAAGAGCGAGGGAGACACAGAATCTGAGGCAGGCTCCAGGCTTTGAGCTGTCAGCACAGAGCCTGTTGGACGCTTAACTGACTGAGCCACTCAGGCGCCCCTGAAATTCTTGAGTGTCTTCAAGTAGATACACCAGTCTATGGCCAGGACCTAAAAAATGTATTTTGTCAGAGTCATCTTATAACACTATTGTACTTGGAAAGAGAGGCACGTTTTGCCCCGTACAGCCAAATTCATGTCAAATTATGAGTGGTGTCAGTGTATCTAATACTTAACATAATATGAAATATACATATATAGGTATATACATTATACATACATAAATGTGTGTATATAT